TGAATATGCACCATATCAGGACCACATGGATCTATTTGGAGAGCTTCACAGGTACCTGTGATGGGGTAAGGGTTCTGTATGTGTAGCACTATAGTGCAGTAATCTGCTCTATAGTGCATACAACAGCCAACATATACTCACATTTCTAGATGCTCTCCATAATGTATGTATACTGTAATATATATAGTGTTTTTTCTATTACAGCATTATTATATATATATATATATTGTTTTATCTGAATTTATCTTACTGCAATGTATAGTGCTGCAATGTACAATATTGAGTAGGCCTGTTTGCTTTTTTGGTTGTTTGAAAATGTTCCTCCTGAAAATATGCCTTCTGAATAAACAGTCAAAATCAAAGACTGTTTTATATAAAGTAGAATAGTGTGTTTCCTCTGATCTGAAACTGTTGGCGTATGGTGCAAGTGTGTGTCATTTTGTCATCAGAGTTACATTTTGACAAAGGAATGTTAGGTTTTGATCGTAGAGTTTCAATTTGAAACAGATGTCAATGGTATATTTTCCAGTGTTGTGTCACGTTTACTTATGTGTAGAGTTTTGGCACAATGAGCGAAATTTTGCAAAATGTGTTCAAGCAATGGGCAAAAACTGTAATGTGTAACTAATGATTATTTAAGCTATTCATTAATGATTACCACATTAGGAACTAATTAAGAGTCTGTAAGGTTTATCTATTAGTTCATAAATGAATTGTTATTAATTAAATATGTAATTGTGGATTAATTCCATAATAACTCATTTTTTTAACTAATAGTGTTAATTAATATGTTAATTACCAGAATGAGCCAAAGCCTTGTATTTCAACTTCCAGATAATATGACAGGTAAACTAATATGCATTAATACATCATTAATTACTTCATTGTTAGTGCAAATTCCTGTGCGAATTACTACGATTACTAAATGACTAGTTAATAATGATGTGCCCCAACAAGTAAAGTCATAGTATAATGATACCTTTGCAAATCATTAGCTAATGATTAATCAAAGCAGACGACTGGAAGTTGAAGTGCATAGCTTTGACTAATTGTGGTAATTAATACATTAATTGACACTATTAGTTAAGAAAATATGTTATTAAGGAATTAATACACAATGACACATTGAATTAATAGCAATTCATGTATTACTTAATCTATTAATCATATAGACTCTTTATTAGTTGCTGATGCAGTAATCATTAATTAATGGTTTAGTTCGTCATTAGTTATACATTATCTGTGCATTAGTTAAGGATGAATTAATGCACATTAGTGCACCCGTATTGTAAAGTGTTACCGATGTAATGTTTTTATACTGTACAAACTGTATATTCGTTTCCTTAACCCTAACTATCACAGATACCTTTCTGCATTGTTTAGTATGGTTTTTAAATCCATTTTAATCACAAGGACTCGTAATAGTGCTCAATGTCCTCATAAACCACCTTTATGTTGTAATACCAGTGTAATAACCATGTCATTACACAAACTTATGTCCTCATAAATTATAAACGACCACACTCACACACACAGTTCAATTCATATTTATTAATTTATAGCGATTTTACCAATACATATTTCAAAGCAGCGTGTCTACATTGTCTCTACAATACAGTTACGTAGCGTGATCTGTTATCAGAGGTGACGGTGTCCAAGTCTAGATGTCCAGCCTATTTCAGAAATGTACATAATACATCACTTATAACAAATCACACCGTTAGCTAACAATGTATTAATTTAAATACAGGTTGTTCCTATAATTGGGGGAACATAGGAAAAATTGTATACGTCCAAGGGCGTATATGTGTCTGGGAGTGTTATGTGCATGTGTATTTTCTTCTTCTCTCTCTCTTACTCTTTTCTTGTGTGTCTTTATAGGATTGGTGTGTGTCCTGAGGAGTCTGATATAAAGCAGCAGAGAGAGCGCTGAGGAGGAAGAGAGATATCGCGGCGTTTGGGGTTGCTCTGATCTCCATGCCCAGACAAATGAGCGCTAGTCACAATGTGGTCACAATGTGTAGTTATGCACTCTTTAAGTTATTTTTCTTTTCATTTATGATCAGTTAAGAGTTTGTGGGTAATGTAGGGTGGAGGATACCCAGAACCTTTCTGCAGTTCGTTCATCGTCGTCTTTTTCAAATCGCTCCCTCTGGCTCGAATATGTAAGGCGTGATGGACAAGTCTTCCGTTGTTGACATTTTGTTAACGAGTGACTAAAAATGTTCTTTGAAGCTATAGTATATAACCGTATATCTCTTATCAAACTACAATAATGGCCGAACGCAGGGGAGTTGAACCGACCGTGAACTCATCGACCTGGAGAGCGGGCGGGGAAAGATGCAACTCCATTTTATTTAAAGGGGACGTTTCGAAACGGGTTGCTCACAGAAAAGGGGTAGAAAAGGGGCTTGTGGAGCTATAATAATGAGGAATTCAGACCCAAGCATTGCAGTTATGCTTTATATAGACCACAAATGTATCATTTATAAGTAAAAATGAATGATTTAAAAGCACGATATGTAGCCTTTACAACTGTAACACCTTCAAAAAGATAACAGGAGGCTAAGAGATTGTCTGTAAAATGTTCAAATGAATGCGCTTTCTACATCTCCTATAACAGGCTGAATCTACATCAGTTCTCCAGCGGCAGCCATTCTTTGTAGTAAACTAATTCAATCCAAGCGCTCTTTGGTGGTGTGTATGATTATGTTATGGTTGATCATCTGTCCATCATTGAATAAAGACTGCCCTTGTATAAACTTCCCATCCTCAAATATTGTGGGCTGGGCTAAGTTCGGCTGGCATCCAGGCTAGGTGATCACATCACTCAAAAGCGTAGGAGACTTACAAGGTTTGCCAGCTCCTCCCTCCTGTCTGAAATTTGCTTCAGGTGGGGTGAAAGCTATTATTCACAAAAGGCCGGGTTACGTACCTAAAGTACCCACTAACATGGCCCAGTCCACAGTCCTCAAAGCCTTTCATCCTCCTCCCCATGTGTCGGCGAAACAAGAGGAGCTACAGTTCCTCTGCCCTGTTAGGGCCGTTGAGGTTTATCTCCAGACGACCTATCAGTGGAGAAAAACTGATCAGTTGCTGGTATTCTCCGGGCCTCTAAAAAGGACTGCCCGGCTACCCAACAAACTGCAAGCAGGTGGATTGTGGAAGTAGTTTCTATGACTTATGTGGCCATGTGGAATTTTCTCGGATTAGGATAGGTGAAGACGGACCACGCGTCTTTTTTGAAGATTTGAAATAGCTCTGTAATTTGCTAATTCATTTTGGTCTAATTCGGTTAAGACCGTGCACCTTCGCCTCTTCTAATCAGAGCCTATGGAGTATGGCATCTTCTAAAGCCTTACTGTCAGGTGCATCCCTCCAAAAAGTATGTGGTGCGTCGGGTTACACGTGGAATCTGAGCTGGTTTTCCCTGTTTAAAGCTACACTGAGTAACTCTTTTAGTTTATTCTTAGCTAAAAACACTTAGTTCTTTCAAAAATATATGTGCTCATTAATGTATATTTACTTCGTTCAAGTAAAAAAGTATTCTCGTGAGTGTATAATAGGCCATTGAAAATACATATGGGTAATGTCGGTCGCCATGTTGCCCCTCCATCTTGAAAGTACATTAGCCAAAGAGGGACATACCCGTTAATTCAAGCTTCGCCTTTCGCGTTTACGTTTGAGTTAACACTCATTGACGAGGTCGAACTGGAAGCCTTGTTAATCTTGGACTACATTGGCCACCGTAGGAGTTAAAATGAAATCAGAATTGAGAGGAACAGAAACTAATATTCACTGGATGGTCATATACCTTTTCAGCGCTAGATGGGGGTAAAAATCACACAGTGTAGCTTTAAATAGAAAAAAAAATGGTAACGGTCTGATAGGATAGGTATGATCTATCTAAACCACCTTAAGGCCTGTCTCTGAATACCAGTATAATTTTGTAGTTGATATTTTATGATCTATACGGGCCGGTCTGAGTATTTCACAATCTGCTCAGTTACTGATTTTCACACACAACCATTTCTAGGGTTTACAAAGGATGGTGTGAAAAGGGAAAAACATCCAGTATGCGGCAGTCCTGTGGGCCAAAATGCCTTGTTGATGCGGGAGGTCAGAGGAGAATGGGCCGACTGATTCATGCTGATAGAAGAGCAACTTTGACTGAAATAACCACTTGTTACAACCGAAGTATGCAGCCACAACACACACAACCTTGAGGCGGATGGGCTACAACAGCAGAAGACCCCACCACTCATCTCCACTACAAATAGGAAAAAGAGGCTAGCGCACCAAAATTGGACAAAAGACAGGAAGAGCATTGTTGAGCATTGTTTCTGACCATGTCCATCCCTTTATGGCCACCATGTACCATCCTCTGATGGCTACTTCCAGTAGGATAATGCACCATGTCACAAAGCTCGAATCATTTCAAATTGGTTTCTTGATCATGTCAATGAGTTGACTGCACTAAAATGGCCGCCACAGTCACCAGATCTCAACCCAATAGAGCATCTTTGGGATGTGGTGGAACGGGAGCTTCGTGCCCTGGATGTGCATCCCACAAATCTCCATCAACTCCAAGATGCTATCCTATCAATATGGGCCAACATTTCTAAAGAACGCTTTCAGGACCTTGTTGAATCAATGCCACGTAGAATTAAGGCAGTTCTGAAGGTCAAAGGGGGTCAAACACAGTATTAGTATGGTGTTCCCAATAATCCTTTAGGTGAGTGTATACAAAACAGCTGTTTTTCATGTTGATATATATAGTAAACTGTAATTTATTCCTGTGATCAAAGCTGAATTGTTGTCATCATTACTCCAGTCTTCAGCAAAAGCAGTTTATGCTTAACCTGCTACTGAAGCCAACTTCCTTTTTCTTCACAAACTCATTTGAACAATTTCCGATGCATATCTTTTTTTAGATGACTTGTGTTTCGATGAGCCAGCATTTTTTTTTTTCATTGGTTTGGTTTTTAAACCGTAACCCAGGCTGTGTAGAGGTCAGTGTGTGGTGGAGCAGCTGATGGAGACAGATGTGGACTCAGTTGAAGGGAAGGCGTCTGTATTCAGCCAGGTAAACCCTCTTTATGAAGACAGCATGAAGCTCAAGGAGTCTGACCGTTACGACTTCCAGCACAGCGGTGAGTCAGACTGAGTGTTTCTGGGATGTTTCATTCTGATCAATTATGACATTCAGTGGTCTGATATTTTAGATATTGATTGATTGACTGTTGTCGGTCATGGAAAAGATGTGTATTGAAATTTAAAATAGCTCTAATTTCATTTCCCTCATATCACTTATCACTTAAAACAAATCAGTTTTCTGTAGTTTAATCCAGAGTTCTGCATTGCTTGTTACAGAGCTAACGCTGAAGAAACCAGCAAAGAAATGTCGCTGTATTCCAGTTCTCATCGTGTTTCTCCTGCTCCTGGTTGCACTAAACTCTTTCCTGGCCTATAAAGGTAATAAATAAATAAATAAATTCACATTTTAAAAGTATAACTTCATAAATGTCCTTGCATTATATACAAAATTTCAAATGAAGTGGCATTGATTTGAAACCAAGCTAGTTTTAGGGTTTAAATAATTACATTATAAATAAACTTAACAAAATGAAGAAGAATTGTGACCTTTTGTAGTTGTCAGAAGTCAATGGATCGTGTTGATAGTCAAAGTGATTTCTACTCCTGTGGTTTCTCTATGACTGACTTAAAAAATGCACTTATTCTGTAATCACCAAAGAAAAGCTGATTAAAACATATTGAGCAAAAATGTAATTATTTTACAATAGAGAGAAAAGTTAATTATTTTACAAATGTCCCAAAATACTTTGTTGTATAATAGAATGAATTTTGTATTTTTTAGTTGTGGCCTTAAAGGATTAGTTCACTTTTGAAAAAACTTTTGCTGATAATTTACTCACCCCCATGTCATCCAAGATGTCCATGTCTTTCTTTCCTCAGTCGAAAAGAAATTAAGGTTTTTGATGAAAACATTCCAGGATTTTTCTCCATATAATGGACTTCAATGGGAACCAGACAGTTCAAGGTCCAAACGACAGTTATAACAGTTTCAGATGCAGCTTCAAATGTCTTTAAACGACACCAGACGATGAATAAGGGTCTTATCATGTGAAACGATCGCTTATTTCAAAGCTTATTCCAAAAACGTAACTTTTCTAAGGACAAATGCGAGCCTTTCTCCATTCTGTGAGGCGCGTTTGTAACGTCACGTAATACGTAATTACGTTCAAAAGGTCACAGGCGACGTAGCCAGAACTACAGAGTCAGTGTTTACAAGTTGAACGCATAGGTTGAATGTGCAAACTAACTCAAACGCCGTTTACAAAAAAGGAATTAAAAGGTAAAACAACGATGTCGGACGATTTTGATTCTGTACTTCCGGCTACGTCGCCCGTGACCTTTTGAACGTAATTACGTATTACGTGACGTTGCAAACGCGCCTCACAATATATTACAAGGCTAGCATTTGTCCTTAGAAAAGTTACATTTTTGGAATAAGTTTTGAAATAACCGATCGATTTCGCATGATAAGACCCTTATTCATCGTCTGGTGTCGTTTAAAGACATTTGAAGCTGCATCTGAAACTGTTATTAACTGTTGTTTGGACCTCGGTTGGACCTGGTTCCCATTGAAGTCCATTATAAGGAGAAAAATCCTGGAATGTTTTCATCAAAAACCTTAATTTCTTTTCGACTGAGGAAAGAAAGACATGGACATCTTGGATGACATGGGGGTGAGTAAATTATCAGCAAAAGTTTTTTCAAAAGTGAACTAATCCTTTAAGGTGCGGTCAGTTTTACCATTGCTTGCTTGGCGATATTTCATGGGCAAAACTTACTCAAGGAATCCATGCAAAAAAAAAAAAAAAAATCACTGATTTTCAAGATGGTCACTTGAATTCACCGCACTGACCAATAGAAATCTGCTTGGTTTGAAAGTGAATTCTGTGTGAGCTGAGCTTTATACAATATATAACTGACCGCTTTTATCAAATGTGTTTGCACTTTACAGTAAGTGTCCAACGCTTTTTGTGACTCCTGTACATGAATATTTCACAGCATCATGTAAGCTATCACCTTGTTTCTGTTGTTCCATCATTTAATCTGCTTTGTATGGTGTGTATTGTATGCAGTCTTCACTCTGGAGGCTTGGGTTCACACTCACTGTACATCAGCTGATCCCAGTTCAGAGGAGGTCAAGTCTTCTGAAAGACTCAGGCTGGGCAGCTCCAGCTCAGATGGGGTATATACACACACACACCTCACACCATCATTCATGTTCGTGCCATAAAAACACATTCTGGGATATGAGCTGAAGGTGTGTGTGTGTTAACAGGAGTGTCTGTCTGATCTGTGTGGGAACAATGGGACTCTAGAGAAACTGAAGACTCAACTAAACCAGCTCAACGTTAGTGCACAGAGAGGTACACATATACACACAAGAGAAATCCTACTGTTTGACCAGGGACTATTTTGAGAATATGCCATAATTTCAATCGTTAAAGGGGTAATGAAATGCATTTTCAGATATTTTATTTACATTTACTGTCTGCAATTATACAAAGTAGTATGTACTAACATTAAAATTAATCATTTGATATAATGCACTTATTGTGTACATACACATATGTATCTACACAGTGCTTATGTTTAAAGGGGTCATGAACTGGCTTTTTACATTTTATTATATTGTTGTCTGAGCTCAACTTATGACGTTCGCTTGGTTTTTGCATTCAATAACATCAAAATGAATAAGTAATAGGCTATTTTGTACCCTAGCTGAAAAATGCTCGGTTTTAATGGGCGTCTTGCACTGAAGACTTGGAAGTAAACACCCACAGCTGTGAGTGGATAACAGTTTTTTTCATATTATAATGAGTTTCAACTCACCCGTCGATGCACTTGGGGGAAATTGTTTTGAAAATGTCCAATGTTGTAAAACGGCAACCGGAATGATTGGCTCATACATGTCCGACCCAAAGTCCATGTGTTGCACCATTCCTGTCAGATCCAATATAGACGGCACAGCACTGTTTACTCTTAATCGCTCTGCAATTCCAGTCTTGTTTACAAAACAATCTTCAGTGAAATGACGCGAACGATGTTTTACCTCATCAGCTGGAACGCCATTAAAAATAAAGTTTATCCATGTCTATTGGATTATCCATAAGTTTATCCATAGTCCTACTGGAATCCAGAGGAAGCTTATGCAGCGACTGTCTTCTTCCACAACCAGGCGCTGCACAATATTCTGTATTGCTCGATAGCTCGATCCGGTTTGTCATCACGAGGTAGGCATCTATGTTATTTAGCTATGCGTGTAATGCGCGAATCGGTGGGCGGGGCTAAACCGGCCGTGTTGAAGTAGGCGTTGATCTTCTTCTGCGGGGGTGGTGTTTTAACCCCTTCGACGTCATAGTTCCCCACTTTGAAAAACGAGTTGTTTGCTGAGCCTGGTGTCAGTAAAAAGCTTTTATTGGACTAACAAGGACGTTTTCAGTTCTGAAACTTACAGGATATTCTTATATGATAACCTCTTAGACGTCAAAAGCTCAAGGGAAATTTTATTTCCGAGTTCATCACCCCTTTAAAACATACCTGCATGAAATTACTGTAATTACATCTATAATGACTCTGTTGGCCTTCTCTTACCCCTTAACCCTACCCAGACAACCAAATCTGTCCTAACCTTACCTGTATCACCTCAATAGCAGCACAAGTGTTTGGGAAAAGCGTTACATCAAGAATGGGGAGATTTCAAATCCTGCAATTTCATAAGGGTGGAAAACAAAAACACATATTTGAGAAATATTTAAGGTGAAAGTTGCAGTATAATTTTATTTCAAAGTAAACTATTGTATGTGGAAATATCAAGAACATTTAGATTTTACATTTCAGGACATGTTTAAAGCATTTTATCTGGAGACATAAGAATTAAGGTTATTTTTTTGCTTTATTTTTCATAGTCATAGTTGGTCCGCCTGGTCCACCTGGTCCGCCTGGTCCACCTGGATTACAAGGTAACTGTGTCCTGTGATAATGCCTTGAAAATATTGTCACTCAGTCCCCCTCTCAATCAAATTTAACATTAGTAGAAGCCTCTTGAATTTCACCTGCATAGCTCTAACTAGCTGGCCTCCAACACACACACACACACACATACCCCTGAACGTCACCGGGTCACGGCACCAATGTAACAGGTCCCACTTGATATTCAACAATTTTATTGATTGACAATGTTTTCCACTAAGAAACGAACATTGTTATTATGTTTCGATTGATACTGTGAAGCTGTTTTGATGCAATCTATATTGTGAAAAGCGCTTTATAAATATATCTGCTTGCATTAACATTATATGAGAACTGAACTAAGCTGGGCAAGGACATCACTGTTTTTTTGAACACCGTAAAGGTGACTTGACTACTCACACTGCAATGAACAGGATTCAAACCATCATCAACCGGCATGGAAAGGCAGAGGAACGAGGTTTAGCTTTAACTCTTCCTAGCTGGAATCCAGGAGGATACCAAACATCTGTGAGGCCCCCAAAATCCCTGAGATCCTGTCCCCAGTTTAAAGGGATGAACATCTCTCAGTTCTCACAGATCTCAGGGACCAGAATAGAGCCAATCACTTACCACATGTTACTCCATAATCTGTGTAGTTTTAGTGCTCCCTGCTGGTCAAAACAGACATAAACACTGAACTGAACTAAAGCTGACATTTGACCATTCCATCCTCTGTTCCAACAGATGCGTGTGAATGGTATTTTTGTCTTTTTTATGTATTTATTCAGTATTTATACTCCAGCTGTGCTCTGTATCAGGTACTCATGGGTTCCCAGGAACACCGGGACAGAAAGGAGAACTTGGTTCCCCGGGTGAGTGTATTTTTGTATATCTGTATGCATATGTGTATGGGTGTAATTGCTCTTGAAAGTATCCTAGAGTATTGTGCTCTTAATTTCTCATCAGTTTTAACATGCCGCATTGACATAGGAAATAATTTTACGTTACTAACATTCACTTCTTTGGTGTATACAAAGAAAATGCTGCAAAATGATTGTATTTATGTCAGGGGGGGTTGGACAGCCTGGATCTCCAGGTGAAAAGGGGCAGAAAGGAGACCTAGGTCTCGCAGGGGAACGGGGAATGGTCGGCGCTCCGGGTCAACCTGGTAATCGCCTCCTTACTTTCACACATCTCTCATCCCAGTATAGCAGATCCACATCTCTCCCTGACTGTATGTACTTCTGTCTCCAGGTGTCCCAGGCTTAAAGGGGGATCCAGGAGAGAGAGGAATACAAGGTGCCTGATTATTATGATGAAAGGCAACCTTAATAATTCATACTGTAATAAAACAGAAAATATGTGTTGTGGAAATACCTTACACATTTTTCCATGCTGTAAGAGTTTTACTGCTCTGTGCACACAAGGTGTACCGGGGAATGACGGTCGTCCAGGTACCGATGGAAGGACTGGTTTGCAAGGAACAGCAGGGATCCGTGGATATCCAGGTACTTCTTCAAAGATAAATCTGACCCGGATGATTTTTTAGCTTGTCTAGAGCTGCTAATTACTAGTACTTCTTAAAATATCAAGAAGATAAATAGAAGTGCAGTTGTGCAAAACTACAACCACATCACAACACCACTTTAATCAGTAGTAATAGTGATGCTATCCTTGTTAAACACCACTGAAACACTTGACTGCTTGTACTTGAAATCTCTCTTCTGCAGGGCCTAAAGGAGACCCGGGTCCCAGTGGTGAGAGAGGACAGCAGGGGCCTTCAGGTGTAAGCGGTAAGAAAGCTATTGGAAAGAAACAAAACAACACTATTTAAAGATATTTAGCAGTGACATTGTCAGGCTTTTTTATTTATAACAAAATTATCTAATGGCCCAAATATAAAAGCACTGCAATATAACAGTGAAAATTACAGTGGATTTATAAATTAAAAACATAAAAAAAGCAAAACACACCTGATGCACAGACTTTGTTCTTCGTTCTCTAGAAGTAGGGTTCCTTGCTGTATTTTTGTGTAGTTAATTGAGAGAAGGTACACCGCCAAAAAATCTCGCTCCGACAAAAGTAACTTTAGTCAAAAGTTTCCCTGGACTGGTGTACTTGGTTTATCCTAAATATAGCTAATACCCCAATATTGGAGAAAGCTTATTGCACAGCAGTTTCAGTCCAGAATATATAGGGAAACACAAAGTACTCAGGAACGTGTGTAGACTTTCAAAGATGATAAGATGATAAGAAAGATGATATTTCCAAAAACTACAGATTATTTCACAGACAATTTTTACCTGAAAGTCACAAAACTCTACCACTAACTTGGCAACTTCAGCAAATACAGAGAGTAAAGTTTTTCCCACTGACCTATATGACTGGATAGCTCATGACGTACTAAACTGCCAGCCCGTTCTCATCCTTTAGCGTCATATAGAACGCTATATGACAAAACGGCGCTATACTACGCACATGGCACCCTTTATCGTTAATATTCACGTGAACCCAAGGCGTCATAAATCCTTTAGCGTAATATGAGACTACCCTACCCCACACCTAAACCTACCCCTCACAGCACGTGTTATATTAACGATAACGGGTGCCGTGCGCGTAGTATAGCACCGTTTTGTCATATACTGTAGCATTCTATGACACTAAAGGATGAGAATGCGTTGAAACTGCCACCAGGCAGTGAAGCCACTGGAAGTGTTTGAGCGGCCATCTTAAGATTCCCTACCAGCAGAAGGCTCCAACGGCCGTTGTACAGAGATACTGTAGGTAAGTCCGACGGCACTTTTAAGATGACCCGCTGTGCATCAACAAGTGTAAAACGGATCTGGTTCACAAAAGGATCTACAAAAACTGCCAACAGGTTGTAATTTAAGCAATGGCGCCACCAGGGGGTGGCCAGGGGTGGCCATGGCCACCCCTGGCCGACTCCTGGCCACCCCATTGGCCACCCCAATGGCCAGTATTAATTTTTGTAGCATCAGTTATGCATTTTATAAATAAGTCAAAAATATTCTTAAGTAAAAGAAGACGGGGAATTATGTGTCGTGACTCGTGACGTGCTTTTTAAGTGCCAAATGGTATACTGTTACAGCAGCTTTTTAGGTGTGTTTTTGCCACGTTTGGACAGGCAGGGATGCAAACAGCGCGCTTTTCGGCGCCTCCCGCTTTTTTCACGTCAGTTTGGGTGACAAAGTCATCTGAAGTCATTCCATAGCTTAATGTGAGGGACAGAAGTATATTTACATCATTAAAGTATAAACTCGTTTTCCCTCCTCTGCGGCTGTCATCATTCTCCATTCATATTCAAACAGCACGCGCGCCTCTTGGATGCACGGTAAAACTCTCTCCAATATGATATATTGACATTATAAATGCATGATCTGTAGATTAAAGTCTGTATATTCGCATAAAATTACTTTATTTTCTTGGAGTTTGTTGCTGTTTTTAAACGACTCACTACCGTGTTCTGTTAGATCACACATATCACAAGGATTATGAATCGGCATCAAACGCATAATAACTGTGAAACAAAGGAACAAATCGCACTAGGATTATTTTGTGCGCTCAACATTTCTTCGATTTGTGACATGAGCTTTTAAATGCGCACTTATGAAGCGCAGTGCTGCTGCACACTGTGACTCCAGACTCCATGTTGCTTTGAGCACATCATTCTGCACCCGCGATGCGCATACACGCTGTGTGCTCGCTGTTTTTCATGTAATCATTTGCGCACTGAAATATTATTAAAAGCCAATATATTTTGTTATACCTAGCCTGCTCAATACATTTTAAATAAGCATAATTTAATTGTATATAATTTATTTGTAGTTTAGGCTATGCACTTCTGAATTCTTGACATTAATATATAAATATAAAATTGTGACATGATTGCCTGATTGAATTTTAAAAGAGAACTAATAGTAATTTTTTTTATTAACATATTTAGATTTTATAAAATTACTGTGCAGATTTTTTTCAAGAATTACTTTTTGCTGCTGATGTATACACTCATTAAGTGTATTAAAAATTCATAATACATTTATGTAATATTTAAAGGTGTTAACTGTAATCTTACACTGCAAACTAATAACTTAAACATGATTAAATTCATCACAATTATGTAAGTATCTGGAAATTTGCTGTGGGGCAAGGACCCTTATATCATATAATATATATCATTATATACAATGTAATATATATTAGTTGGGCCCTACTAATATCATTAGTAACATTAAATATTACACAATAAACCAAAGTATATCAGTAGGAGTTTCCTTAAGTCTTTCTGATAGTTTTCTACAGGCTGGTTTATTACAACAGTATAGAAAACAATTCTGAAATTATGGTTTATACTGTAGTTTTGGTGTGCCACCCCAAGATTTTAACTGGCCCCATCTGGCCACCCCTACGAAAAATTTCTGGAGGCGCCACTGAATTTAAGCCCATATATAGTAATTTTTAGGCACAACTGTCGCTATTTCCATGTTGTTTAAAAACATGAAAGACGTGTGCAGTGTATTGGAGGTGAAACAGGCGTACATTAACCCATACAATTTGTATACGCATTTTCTGAACATGTTTTTGCTAACTAATCAAATACTTGAACAGATCTATCTGTAAAACACAATCCGAAATACCTATATTTTAAGTTCACAATACACATATACTTAATTTTTAATAAGCAGAAATAATTTTCAACTTTAAACAAATACCCATTTAAATGTTTAAGATGTTTGCGTTATATGACTGTTCAGGGAGACTTCAGATTTAAAAACAGTGTCCCGTTATCCAATGTTTTCTCAGTCAAATCATGCAATTTCCTATTGATTCAATAGAACGCGCGAGTTCACAAGGGAATCACAATATGGCGGCGCGGTGGCTTCACTGTTTATGACGTCATGAGCTATCCAGTCATTCTATATAGATCAGTGTTTTTTCCTCACAAGTTCTCATTGTATCATCCTGGTACCCTGCAAATGTGACAGGCAGAATGATGCACCCATGAAATTTCATAATTCCTCATTGATTTGTGCCCTCACCTGTGGTTGGTTGGTCTTTTAGGGCCTCCTGGTCCACAGGGACCTTCTGGCCTGCGCGGATCACCTGGAGAAAAAGGCTCGCCTGGACCAAAGGGAGACAGTGGCATTGGCATTCAAGGTATTGTGGAGTGCCCAGAACACATGCACATAAAAGTGAGCTGTTGCCAATAATTTTGGGTAAATAATTATTTTCAGGGGCCCCAGGACAGCAGGGAGGAAAGGGAGATCGAGGCTTAAAGGGGGATCCAGGAGCGAGAGGAATACAAGGTGCCTGATTGTTATGATGAAAGGCAACCTTAATAATTCATACTGCACATTTTTCCATGCTGTAAGAGTTTTACTGCTCTGTGCACACAAGGTTTACCTGGGAATGACGGTCGTCCAGGTGCCGATGGAAGGACTGGTTTGCAAGGAACAGCAGGGATCCGTGGATATCCAGGTACTTCTTCAAAGATAAATCTGACCCGGATGATTTGATAGCTTGTCTAGAGCTGCTAATTACTAGTACTTCTTAAAATATCAAGAAGATAAATGGAAGTGCAGTTGTGCAAAACTACAACCACATCACAACACCACTTTAATCAGTAGTAACGTGATGCTTTCCTTATTAAACACCACTGAAACACTTGACTGCTTGTACTTGAAATCTCTCTTCCGCAGGGCCTAAAGGAGACCCAGGTCCCAGTGGTGGGCGAGGACAGCCGGGGCCTTCAGGTGTAAGCGGTAAGAAAGCTATTGGGAAGAAACAAAACAACACTATTTAAAGATATTTAGCAGTGACATTGTCAGGCTTTTTTATTTATAACAAAATGATCTAATGGCCCAAATATAATAGCACTGCAATATAACAGTGAAAATTACAGTGGATTTATAAATTAAAAACATAAAAAAAGCAAAACACACCTGATGCACAGACTTTGTTCTTCGTTCTCTAGAAGTAGGGTTCCTTGCTGTATTTTTGTGTAGTTAATTGAGAGAAGGTACACCGCCAAAAAATCTCGCTCCGACAAAAGTAACTTTAGTCAAAAGTTTCCCTGGACTGGTGTACTTGGTTTATCCTAAATATAGCTAATACCCCAATATTGGAGAAAGCTTATTGCACAGCAGTTTCAGTCCAGAATATATAGGGAAACACAAAGTACTCAGGAACGTGTGTAGACTTTCAAAGATGATAAGATGATAAGAAAGATGATATTTCCAAAAACTACAGATTATTTCACAGACAATTTTTACCTGAAAGTCACAAAACTCTACCACTAACTTGGCAACTTCAGCAAATACAGAGAGTAAAGTTTTTCCCACTGACCTATATGACTGGATAGCTCATGACGTACTAAACTGCCAGCCCGTTCTCATCCTTTAGCGTCATATAGAACGCTATATGACAAAACGGCGCTATACTACGCACATGGCACCCTTTATCGTTAATATTCACGTGAACCCAAGGCGTCATAAATCCTTTAGCGTAATATGAGACTACCCTACCCCACACCTAAACCTACCCCTCACAGCACGTGTTATATTAACGATAACGGGTGCCGTGCGCGTAGTATAGCACCGTTTTGTCATATACTGTAGCATTCTATGACACTAAAGGATGAGAATGCGTTGAAACTGCCACCAGGCAGTGAAGCCACTGGAAGTGTTTGAGCGGCCATCTTAAGATTCCCTACCAGCAGAAGGCTCCAACGGCCGTTGTACAGAGATACTGTAGGTAAGTCCGACGGCACTTTTAAGATGACCCGCTGTGCATCAACAAGTGTAAAACGGATCTGGTTCACAAAAGGATCTACAAAAACTGCCAACAGGTTGTAATTTAAGCAATGGCGCCACCAGGGGGTGGCCAGGGGTGGCCATGGCCACCCCTGGCCGACTCCTGGCCACCCCATTGGCCACCCCAATGGCCAGTATTAATTTTTGTAGCATCAGTTATGCATTTTATAAATAAGTCAAAAATATTCTTAAGTAAAAGAAGACGGGGAATTATGTGTCGTGACTCGTGACGTGCTTTTTAAGTGCCAAATGGTATACTGTTACAGCAGCTTTTTAGGTGTGTTTTTGCCACGTTTGGACAGGCAGGGATGCAAACAGCGCGCTTTTCGGCGCCTCCCGCTTTTTTCACGTCAGTTTGGGTGACAAAGTCATCTGAAGTCATTCCATAGCTTAATGTGAGGGACAGAAGTATATTTACATCATTAAAGTATAAACTCGTTTTCCCTCCTCTGCGGCTGTCATCATTCTCCATTCATATTCAAACAGCACGCGCGCCTCTTGGATGCACGGTAAAACTCTCTCCAATATGATATATTGACATTATAAATGCATGATCTGTAGATTAAAGTCTGTATATTCGCATAAAATTACTTTATTTTCTTGGAGTTTGTTGCTGTTTTTAAACGACTCACTACCGTGTTCTGTTAGATCACACATATCACAAGGATTATGAATCGGCATCAAACGCATAATAACTGTGAAACAAAGGAACAAATCGCACTAGGATTATTTTGTGCGCTCAACATTTCTTCGATTTGTGACATGAGCTTTTAAATGCGCACTTATGAAGCGCAGTGCTGCTGCACACTGTGACTCCAGACTCCATGTTGCTTTGAGCACATCATTCTGCACCCGCGATGCGCATACACGCTGTGTGCTCGCTGTTTTTCATGTAATCATTTGCGCACTGAAATATTATTAAAAGCCAATATATTTTGTTATACCTAGCCTGCTCAATACATTTTAAATAAGCATAATTTAATTGTATATAATTTATTTGTAGTTTAGGCTATGCACTTCTGAATTCTTGACATTAATATATAAATATAAAATTGTGACATGATTGCCTGATTGAATTTTAAAAGAGAACTAATAGTAATTTTTTTTATTAACATATTTAGATTTTATAAAATTACTGTGCAGATTTTTTTCAAGAATTACTTTTTGCTGCTGATGTATACACTCATTAAGTGTATTAAAAATTCATAATACATTTATGTAATATTTAAAGGTGTTAACTGTAATCTTACACTGCAAACTAATAACTTAAACATGATTAAATTCATCACAATTATGTAAGTATCTGGAAATTTGCTGTGGGGCAAGGACCCTTATATCATATAATATATATCATTATATACAATGTAATATATATTAGTTGGGCCCTACTAATATCATTAGTAACATTAAATATTACACAATAAACCAAAGTATATCAGTAGGAGTTTCCTTAAGTCTTTCTGATAGTTTTCTACAGGCTGGTTTATTACAACAGTATAGAAAACAATTCTGAAATTATGGTTTATACTGTAGTTTTGGTGTGCCACCCCAAGATTTTAACTGGCCCCATCTGGCCACCCCTACGAAAAATTTCTGGAGGCGCCACTGAATTTAAGCCCATATATAGTAATTTTTAGGCACAACTGTCGCTATTTCCATGTTGTTTAAAAACATGAAAGACGTGTGCAGTGTATTGGAGGTGAAACAGGCGTACATTAACCCATACAATTTGTATACGCATTTTCTGAACATGTTTTTGCTAACTAATCAAATACTTGAACAGATCTATCTGTAAAACACAATCCGAAATACCTATATTTTAAGTTCACAATACACATATACTTAATTTTTAATAAGCAGAAATAATTTTCAACTTTAAACAAATACCCATTTAAATGTTTAAGATGTTTGCGTTATATGACTGTTCAGGGAGACTTCAGATTTAAAAACAGTGTCCCGTTATCCAATGTTTTCTCAGTCAAATCATGCAATTTCCTATTGATTCAATAGAACGCGCGAGTTCACAAGGGAATCACAATATGGCGGCGCGGTGGCTTCACTGTTTATGACGTCATGAGCTATCCAGTCATTCTATATAGATCAGTGTTTTTTCCTCACAAGTTCTCATTGTATCATCCTGGTACCCTGCAAATGTGACAGGCAGAATGATGCACCCATGAAATTTCATAATTCCTCATTGATTTGTGCCCTCACCTGTGGTTGGTTGGTCTTTTAGGGCCTCCTGGTCCACAGGGACCTTCTGGCCTGCGCGGATCACCTGGAGAAAAAGGCTCGCCTGGACCAAAGGGAGACCGTGGCATTGGCGTTCAAGGTATTGTAGGAGTGCCCAGAACACATGCACATAAAAGTGAAATATGCTGTTGCCAATAACTTGGGGAAAATAATTGTTTTCAGGGCCCCCAGGACTGCAGGGAGGAAAGGGAGATCGAGGCTTGCCAGGTAAATAAAGACAAGCATGAAAACAGATGATCAACATTGGGTTCATGTCATGCAGTCGTCATGCGAGTTTGATGTTGTTTGTTGGTGTCCCAGGATCTCCGGGTGTGAGTGGAGTAAAGGGCAGTAAAGGGGATTCAGGTTGGTTTCTTAAGAAGTTTATTAATGACAAGAAGGCAACATACATCTGTGTGTGTTTCTTGACTTTCTTCCTTTCCTCTTACCCTATTCTCTCCCAGGGCAAAAGGGAGATCAAGGTATGTTTTGGCATATTTCGTGTGTATCCACAATATCTGTGAGTGCACAGCATCTATGTGATTATCAACCTGTTTTGCAAGTGAATTGATTGTATTTACATGATTTTATGTATGATGGTCTTAAACAGGTCCGAAGGGTGATGTAGGACCCAGGGGTTTTGTGTCTGGTAAGTTACCATAAATACTGATCCATCTCTCTGTACTACTGTGTGTCACTAGCTATGTTTCCATCCAGCATTGCAATCAGGCTGTTTTCCTCCAGAGTGTCAGACTATACTATTCACTCGTCTCAGAGTGTCAGGCGAAACACAATGGCCCTCGTTTATCATTCTTGCGTAGAAACGGGCGTATATGTTGCTGTAAGATTATGCTTACGCTCCTCTCACCGCCTGATTTATGAAGCTGTGCGTACCTTTGAAATACAGGTGTACGCAATGCCTGCCCTTGATAAATCCCGCGGCTGAAAACAATCGTCATTAGTTAGAATAACATGCCCCTCTTTACAGTATTCAAGTCTCCGCTCCCCCCAACGCCCCCATTTTACGTCATGAACACACGGAAGACGGCAAAGAAGAGAAACGTCTCTGACGTGGAGCCGAAAATGACACAAATCACAATGCAGTATTTTACAGCACGTTATTTGAATTACCATTCAATTTCGAATCACGTCACATGTATTGGGGTGTACAATAGTGTTGATGATGTGATGTGGAGTAGCCTACCATTCATTCACATTAATAATTGCATAATTGCATAATTATTATGATTTGCATTATTAATGACGCTTATTGTTATTTAGAAAAAGAGAGTCGTTATTATTATTTGTATTATTATTATTATTATTATTATTATTATGTAAATGTAACGGAGGCCAGCTAGTAGTTGCTGTGCAAGTAAACCTCACTCCCCTGATCTCAATAGGCGCTCTAGCGACAGACGCTAGAGGCTGCAGTCTTTAGCCTCCTTGTTAGAGCGCCTGACTCTCATGCCGGAGTCCCGGGTTCGAGGCCCGCTCGAATTGGGTCGAGTGGGACCCGGGTATAGGGGTTACATAAAAGAGGAGGAATGTATGTTTTATTATTTTGTCAGTCTGAATTATTTTTTTGGTCATTTAAAAAAGCCTTTCATTACCAAACCCCGTCTGTGCGCACGTGCCGGGGCTACTAACCCTGAAGCGTCAGGTTAAAGCACACAGGCTCGCAACTGAAGGAATACATATGGCTACAGATCAAATGCTTTGATAAAGTCACACAAATTAAACATTGAAGTCCAGGTTGAACAAAAATAAACACTGAAGTTTATAAGTACTATGTTGTTTTTTTGTTTGTTTATTTTTTGTACAGTGGGTCATAATAGATCATATTTTTTAGTTTGTCAGTGCGTTTTGTGGTGGTAGGAATTTTTCTGCACATTTCCGCACTAACTCAAAACGTGCGTACACCACCTCCTGCGCTGGTGTAGGATTTGAGTGTGCCGTACGCCAACGTCCATATTGATAAATCTCAAAGTCACCGTGGTTTTGGGTGTATGCTGGAAATTTGGTGTACGCACTTTTGATAAATGAGGGCCAGTCATGTTCTCTTGCGTTCGGATGCTGGTGTTTAGGAACGCAATCGTGTGAGACGCTTCTGGAGGAATTAAACAAAATCATTCTGATGTAAGACTATGACATTTGAGATGCTGCGATGCCATTGGTCTACTGGTTACGCCAGTTATCCAATCACAGGCTCTGTGGAGTCAAAGTAACATGAGGTTATTGTCGAGCATCAAATGATTTATTCTGCAAAGGTGTAGTTTATGTGCATGGCCTCTTATCGAATAAAAAAATTATTCGCACCGTTAGTTTCATGCACATTTTTATGCACACTGGTTTCCATGCAGCATTTTTTGAATGCGATAACCCAAAATTCACATTAAAATAATTGAATGAAAACATAGCTAGTGTTAACATCTATTCAATTCTCAGAGATTCTTGTATTGTTGTAGTTTTTTTGTCTACTTTACAAAATAACAGTCACTTTAGCGTGAGATACCAATGCCCAAACATGTCTCATATATGAGTATTTGTCTGTAGGTGTGGTTCGTTTAGTGGGAAACTCCACGCGTGGAAGAGTCGAGGTGCTGCATAATAGCGTCTGGGGAACGGTGTGTAATGACCACTTTGACTCTGCGGATGCTTTGGTGGTGTGTGGGATGTTGGGCTTCCAGAGGGCCACCGAGGTGTACACGGATGGTGCAGGTGAAGTATCGGTCTATTCTTATGGGGTTGTAGTTAATGGCTCATGGTATACAGGCTATGGTGTCCACAACCCTCTCAGAACACTCTGCTGTGTGTCTCCTGCAGGAACTGGAAAAATCTGGCTGGATGATTTGGCATGTACTGGGAATGAGAGGAGCATTTTTGTCTGTCCACATAGAGGAATTGAAACTCAGGACTGTGGCCACCATGAAGATGTGGGAGTTAGCTGTGCCTGAATAAAAATAAGAAACTTTCTCACACCAAGAACTCATTTTTGTCTGTGTTTTGGTGATTTTTAGTGGATGTATAACATCAGTTCCCCTCACACAGATGCAGTTCATCAGATTAACTACCTTCCACTAATGTTTGAAAGCGTCTCATCTTATGAAACCAAATTATTTTTGTCAAATGTTTAAAAACACTGTCATCAAGGCAGCAAAATTCATGCATTTACTGTAGTTTAAATTGGACTTTTGTGTGCGACTGTGCGCACATATTTTTTGTTTTTGTACAATATGAAGAATCAAACTCATCCATGTATACTGCGCTATCCTAAAACTGTCCTAACTCAAAACATTTAAACACAGCAAAATAAAGGGCTTACAGTAAATTAGCTTTTGACTCTAAAATGTGTCGTATATGTGCCTGGTCACTCAGGCCTTGTCCACACTAATAGGTTTTCGTTTGAAATGCATGTATTTCTCTCCGTTTTGGCCTTCCATCCACACTGAGACTGCGTTTTAATTAATGAAAACTAAGCTTTTTAAAAAGCTCTCCAAAACGCTGTTGAAGTGTGGACTGTCAAAACTGAGGAATTTAAAAACGTTGAAGTAAGTTAAGTCATGACAGGCATATTGTGCCAATAGATATTCATGTGTATACCAGTATTGTGCCTGTTATTCATGCATTTTTTTTTTAAATGTGAACTTGTGTGTGTGCATATATGTACAAATTAAATGTATAAAGAAAATCAATGTTGTCCTAACTTATAACACTTACACACACAGCAAAATAAAGGGCTTAAAATAGCTTTTGACTCTAAAATGTGTCTTATGTTTCTGTACACTCAAACACAAAACCCTATTGCTTCCACACATCTCTCTCACGGTCCGTTTTTTACCAACACTGTCTTGAATTTTGGATCTAAGAGACACTAAGCGAGGATTATCATTCATCTGCTGTTCTCCTCTCCAGGGAGTTCCTCTCTCCAGTCCTGCCTTCCTCTCACGGTGTCTGTCTGGCCCCTCATTAGCTGTGGGACCCTGGGTACAGAAGACTGGGTTTGGGTGTGAGGTCCTCTGAAGGGCTAAGAGGCCGCACTAATAAATAAATGATCCAGTCGGCGACAGAAATAATAATGAGAGAGGAAGGGATACGCTAGCATTTATAAAGAGCTCCGGTCCACAGGGAGCAAGAGGCTCTTTGCTCTTTTATACTGAAGCCAAATCTGAGAACTGATCAACAGTTTACCAGATTATAGGTAGGATAAGTCTGCCCATTTAGATTTTTATTTAAAACTTATTTTATGTTGCTTAAGTTAATGTTTCACATGCAACAGGTGAGCCAGTGCACAGTTATTTTTTTTATGTATTTTAATTTTATGTGCATAATTTATTTTGTTAAACTACATAAATGCCATTATTCTCTGACGTATCCCAACTGTTACAATAAAACATCAATTGACCAACATAACATGCATTTTTATTCAGTATTTAAGCAATATTTCGCTTTTTATGTTAAATTGATACCGCGAAAAATATACTACATTCTATGAACGTCAGAAAATACGTTAAAAGATACAGTCCAACTTACCTAAATCCGTATCATGTCTCTCATACAATTGCTCAATCAGTGTTTTAACCACAGAATGACGTCAATAAAACAGACTGTGTAAAACAGCATAGTAAACACCGTAACTCAGAAAAGCCATTCGTTGCCTTTTTAGTCAGCAAGAGCGCACTCGCCACCAAGTGGACAGGAGTGAAAATTACAGTTACAAGTTACAATCAGATCATCACTAGGCCTACTCCTACTCAGTGTCTCTGTCAAAATGAGTTTGATTTCAGATTTTTCCATCAGAGCTAAAAATATTCGGTCAATGACAAAAAAAAAATGTTTGGCTAATGCAACATCTGCTTAAAGCACCTTCATCTGTGTGTGACATCTGTGTGTGTGAGGAACCTTTAGCAGCCGCATCCCATTAAAGCTTTCTCCTGAGCTAAATGTATGACAATAAGATGCTTCATGTTCTAGATGTGACCACTAACACATTCTTTTATTAAGTATTCATATGGGTGCAGTGGTATAAGAGCACAGTAGTGTTTTGTGTCAGCTTAAACTGTGTATTTTAAAACTGTAATGTTGTATTGATAAATCAAAATTCAATCCATTTTATACACACTATTTCAGCATTTTTCAGTGCTCTTGTCGCATTACTGCTCTGCGAAAAGATTTTTTGATTAACCTTTGTGACTAAACATCATGCTTTGGATATGATCCTCTTTTCTAAAATGTAATTTTGTCCTCTATAACACATGATATTGGGGAATACATATCTCATTTGGGCAGTGCTGTGTCATTTAATCGGCTGTTCTTATGAAAGGTACAAAGAGTGTATCAAACGTGCAAATGCAGAACACTTCAAGTGACATTAAATTAGTTGCTCAAATCAGTATCACAAACCATTCGAGAGTGAGTGGAAGTTATTATAACATTACTACGCACTAGGAGAATTAAATGCTAAAGATGTGCAGATGATTTAACTCAACTCAACTTTATAGAGCACTTTCAACATCACAAGTGCTGTACAGGAAAATATAAAAGAAAATAAAAAAACAATAAAACAACCATTAGGAGCAATTGATCATTTGAGCGCAGAGATGCCAGATTCTGAGATGTCATGTGATGTAATGCATCATATTTCATCAATGACTGTTAGAAAAAGAGTTGTTGTTTTAGGGAACATTTCAGCCAGGCTAATTGTATGTCTTGCTGAACAAGAAGAAATCTGCAGATGAATATGATCCTGTCTCTCACTGCCCCCTGCTGGAGCACACGAACAGTGTGTAGTGTGTGAGGAGCAGGCCTAATTATGCTCCACAAATGAGCAAATTGACTTAAACACAATGTGCATGTCCTATACTGGACAATTCTCTGGTCTTCTGGAAGGTTTTGCATGAATTGATTATGGCTATTGTGCAATAGTGTGATATAAGAGAGTAGAAGAGGGTATAATGGGAACAAGAAGAGATGAGGATAAGGTTTGTTAACTTCAATCATTTATGTGCTTATTTATAAATCACTGCCCTACTGAAGAAACTAGCTGAATTGGGAAGCTATGAGGCAAAGTGAGTCAGATGCTGTTTTTTTTGAGTGTATTGAATCCCTTTCTGATAAGAGCCGGAAGATGCTCAATCATAGCTATATATTTCTGGAACCACTAATGACCTAACATGTTCAACATTGCAGAAAAAAACATCATGCCAAGAACTTTTGACTAAATGTTTATTAGTTTCAGTGACATTTATTCTTTCTAACTCTGTTTTTATTTAACGTTACTCAAAAAACTCTCTGTTTGGTGTATATTTGGGAGGGTTACAACTTTGGTGTTCAACATATTGTTCAAACAATTAAAGATATTTAAATGAAACTTCACTTGGTTTTATGTTTTGTTTCAGTTGGCTTTAAGAAAAGAAATATGACTTTGTAAAATGAAGATTGATTATTAAATTAGTTTTAAAAGAGGTAAATTATCTTTAAAGTTTTGATTCAGTTAGATGGTCAGTTTACACCCAGATGGTGCAACCACTGACTCGGATCAACTTACCCCTGACCTGGGGTAAATTGAGCCACAGGAACACAGGAAAAAATATATATTTTTTAGAATCCTTTTTCATATATTTATTTGGATCATTTAAAATAATAGGAAACATTCTGAAAGTAATTACTTTAATTGTAACCCACTTAATTTTCTCTGATCTTGAGGAACGCGTAATTTAAAATGGCTCATCTTACCCCACTCTCCCCTACAAGTTATGCTACTTGACAACCCTTCTACTGGAAACCACATGGCAGTGGTTTTAATAGGTAATTGGTTATTTAATAGAGTTGATGGTTTCCCTTTTTTCCAGCAGGAAATCGGTAGTTAACAGTGAGTTACGCCGTTGTACGGGAAACACACCCCAGTTCAACCAGTCAACAGTGTCTAGTTGTGTTTCCTTGGGTTGTCACTAGAGGTCCTCGTTCTCACGGTGTCTTTCACATTTGACTTCAATGGGCTTTATGCCCAGCTGCACTACTTCCTGAACTTCAACCAGCTCCTTGTTTCCTGTCTGCCATTATTGGCCAAATTGATTAATTCAGGTGTGTCTGATTATAAAAGAAGTTGCTACTTAACCGGGCTTTTACCCCCACATAACTTGAGACAAGGAAGTTTGAGGATTTAATTCATTATATTACTCTCCACATTACGTGTGATAGGTAAGAATAACGTGATATCAGTTCATAAAGTTATAATAACGTAGACCGTTTCCCGGGAGGTACACGTTACTTAAAAATAAGTTATCAATGAAATAAATTCAGCAAATAAATGTTGTACTAAAATGTAAATGTTTGACAATAAATATATAACAGCAATAGAATAGCTTTACAGTAAACAGTTTTTTTTTTTTTTTGCAGTACTAGCCTTATATTAATATCCTAATATCTTATATTAATGACGCAAGATCATGTAAACAAACAAAAAAAAAAAAAAAAAACACAGCCAATGTCCAAAGTGGCAATTAGTTATAGGATAACGGACACAGCGCATCAATGATCATCATGTTTATAGCATGATCCAGGGGATTAAAACGTCCAAAATATATAGATACTGAAAAGCACCCTGAGAAGCACCCTGAAGCACCCTATGGCTGGGCATAAACTCCATTCCCAGCATTCTGTCTGTTACTTATCACTGTTCATTGCACTCAGCTGTTCCCCGTAATCATTGTACCCAACTGTTCCTTGTTAGTTCTTTGTTAGATCTGTGTGTAGGCTATATATTCCCTGTCTGTGTCAGTGTGGGTAACAGAGTCGTTGTTATACCACCTTTGAGGTCTGTTTTCCGAGTTTTGTTTGATTATTTGGATTTTGACCCCTGCCTGGAAGACCACGATTTTGGATTGCCCTTATCAAATAAACTACTGCAATTGGATTTTCTGTTCCTGTGTGTGTTCGTGACAGTCGGTGTTTCCGAAACCATAACGAACATTCACAAACAACATCGCAGAGTTGCTTTTGACTGACAGGGTCGTAAAAATTCTGTTATGATCTATTACCGTCATTTTATTTTCTATATATTTTAAAGATAATAAGACATTTAATAGTCTCTGTTTTTGTTCACATTTTCATTTGTATTCAGGAACTTACAGGACAATCATATAGGCTAGGCTAGGTTATGCTAAATATAGGCTATGAAGAGAAAGTTGATGCTTTGTTACTTTTGATATGAAACAAACTCTTCGCTCAAAAACAAAAAGCCTCTTTTTGGCGGAGGATGAGTTTTTTTGTTCATTCATTTAATTTAGATTTCAACTATTTGATTCAATTCATTCCTTTTTGTTGTTGTTTTCTGCCCTTTTTAATTATTTTATTTCTAAATTAATTTAACCAAAAAACGAGTAGGCCACATAAAATGTACAATACAGTACAATCAAAACCTTATATGATAGTCACATTGCACTTGAATAGATTACAGGTGTAATCTGCCGGTTGACCTGCAGGGGACCTCATAACTCTGTGCAGGCCTTGATTACACCAGCACTCGTAGATCCACGATGATTTTCAGGTGTTTCTTAAGTAATGATGACTTTAGGAAACAGACCGTAGCATTGAGATGAGTCGTACGATCGTTTTAACTGCTTTTGGGAAACACAGCCAAGTTCAGTTCATTTCTCATATGGTGTCAATGCAGGCAGATGAGATCAATAATATTGTTGAATATTAATCTTGCCCCTTTTATCTTTGAAAAACTGTGAAAGACCCATCGAAATTGGATATCAGTTTATCAGAACTGATAAACACGAGCTCGCTCTCGCGCATGCGCTCTATGTCAGGGCCGTGGCGTCACTATTCTATCCGGCCACGAGAGGACGCAACATATCTCAAAATCTGCAGTGTTGTGGTCGTTGTGGTTCATATTCATCCACCGAACAAACATAGGCTATTAATCACATTTAGGCTGTTTATTGTTTCAATACTAAACACTTTTTATGGTTAAAAACAGTAGCCTGTTGAACTCATCTAATAAAACTCGTCTTACAACCAGGAGATCTGGAAACGTTTACAGAGATTATTTCCCCCATAGTTTAGCCAATTATTTGTTTTTAATTATTGTTATTATTATTTTGACCATTAAAAAAAAGAGAGTTCGAATTTTAAGATCAGAGAAGATGGACGGACGGATATACAAGTAGGCGTAAAAGACGAAAGACACAATACTGAACATGATAATAAACTGCTGACTGACTTTTCCATTTGTGCACGGTCAGATTCAGATGGTAAATGTCATTAGCCTCAGTTGGGTGTCCACCTTAGAGATAATCACCATATGTAGCCTATAATATTTAAGAAATAGCCTATATTAATCATAGTATTTAAACATGATTTATTGTGACTACTGTAAAACTATTTTAAATTATTAGATGTCATTCAATGCTTAAAATTTACTTTAATAATAAATAATTGTGTTTTTGTAAAAGGAACATATTAATGACCGTATATTTATTGAAAAAAAATGAATGCTTTTATTTATCAAAATAAACAGAAAATAGTGCAAACTTTGCTGAAGTCATTGTTTTGTCTTAATTTACACATTATTAAAAACATATTATTTTATCGAAGGTAGGCCTACATTTTAATTAATACTGTGTGTCTTTTGCCCCAATGCTGGTTTTGCCCCCTGTTTTTGGGGTAAATACCCATCTTCAAACCTCATGAATTATAAGATTGTAAAACAAAACGTGCACTTTTGATTTATTTTCACATAAAAACTGTTGCTCGGTCAATGTTCAACAACAGACTGTCACACACTGAGCCGTGAGAAGCACATGTGCCTTTAGCCCCCCTAGCCTATTTATCGCCTGATTTAAGATTTTGTCCTGTAATCTGAAGTGAAATGTAAATGAAGGAAATGTAAATCACAACATAATAATCTGAGGAGCTTTGACCGATGCACATCTGTTCTTCTCATGACTGAACGCGCAACGAGATCTGCTGTCTCCATTACACACCTAGAGAAAAAATTTTATATTGTGTTTTCATCACTTTTATATTGCGTTTCCCAAAGCTATGGTCGCAAGTATAGGCACTGTCGTTACCAGAGTTCAATTCATACTGGGATAGTTGGCGAATGATGCTTTTGGAAAACACACATCGTGAAAGTGCGTATACCACGAATGAAATTTCTCGTGCTATTTATACGCCAAAAACATTTTTTGCGTGTGGTAAACCCCTATAAGGATTAGTGCATATGTGTTACTGGTATTGCACGCCATTAAGTGCACGCGTAAACTGCTTATCATTTACACGCAAAAGCTATTTTTGGCGTATAAATGGCACGAGAAATTAAATTCGTGGTATACGCCTTTTATTGCAACTAGGCCATAGGCTAGGCTACTGAAGTTCTGAATTTGTAAAGGTTGTAGAATAGCATAGCAGAAATAACGATTTTCCTCGAATTGTACGAGTATCTGCCCTGATGTTATTGAGCTGAGCTCGAAATAAACACGTGTTAAACTGTTGAAAGTTACAACAAACACTGAGCACAATTGAACTACGCAGTCATTGGACTATTTCCAGGGTCGTTTGCATTTTGTTTAACAATGAAAAAATACATTTATCATATTTTCACAAAAACACTGGCATGTGAGCGATAAAATTAATCACTGGGCATTTAGCTGTCAGCTCAGCCTTTTATGCAAATAGAGCTTTTGCTACAAGCCTCATCAGAACTGTGTGTGTGTGTGTATGTGTGTGGCAGCGCTTTTACTCTGTTGTATTCACTGTTGTCTGTGCGATAAACGCCCCACTCATCGCGCTGAATGCTCGCTAATTAAAAGCTATAAATTATATATCTATAAGGCGCGTCTGTGAGAGAGATAGCGACTCTCTCTTCTGGACGAGCCGGTAATAGCCCGACTGCCTAATTAATTAATTAGGAGCAAAAGCGATAGGCTAAGTATTTCAGGCTATATTCCAATCTGACTTTCAATTGTCCTGAATACATCTAAATTAAATATAACGTAGCCTATTACTTTTTTATCTCGACAATTAACCAGGGATTTGTTTTTTGTTTTTGTTTGTTTTTTTCTGTCGTAAGTGTTTTTTTTTTTAAGTGTGGTAAGTAGCATAACCCCAATTTTAATTATACCATGTTTAAACTGGTTAAGTCAATTTAGTAAGGGATATAATGAGTATACAATATGAATAGTGGTAGGTTGGCCTATTATTTACATAGTTTTGTATTTAAATTAGTGTAGTCAAATATTACATTAAATCATTTTGTTTATGTGTGTATATACAGTATATATAGCCTATATATAGGCCTAATCTACACATAATAAAGGCCTATAGTTTATATGTCTGTATATTAGGCTATTATATAGATATTATATGCCTAGTGTATATACAGTATTTAATATTTATATAATAATATATACACATATATAAAGATGTTTTTTAAATGTTAGATGCGATTAATCGCGATTATCGATTTGACCGCACTTTAAATTAAATGGAAGCATTTAGAAGACACTCTCTTATCCACTTGTCATTTTTGCAGTAGCCTATTGTTGTAGGCCTACTTGCGGTCGAAATTAGGTTTTAATTTTAGGGGTAGTTTTTTTTGTGATCTTATAAGTAATTTATAATGACTTTATTTGACTAGAAACATCTGTAAATGGCCAAAGATGTCTTTAAACATGTTTTGAAGTTTAATTCTCTGGCGGGGGAACCTGCGCGTGACTGACAGGAGTGTTTGATATCTGCGCGCACAGGCGCGGAACGGACACTCGCTCTTTGTCATGGATAGGCTCGCGCTCATCTTTGTGATCTCGTGTGTTTCCGGTTAGCGGCCACTAAGAGTGGTTGTGCACGAGAAGAGCTCCAGAAAAAAAAAGAGGTGTCAAACTCGGGTCTGGTAATGCAGAGGGTGTGCGAAACCTGCGCGCTGTCAGTCCTCTCAAAAAGCGCTCAACGTGACAGACAACCCGCGAGCGTTATGTCAACAAGTTGACTTACAACATGTGGGGAATTAGCGCGCTGGCACGGATACCTAGATAACGTTATATTTGGAGCAGGACAGGTTATATCCACGCGCAGGAGCGAGTATCAGCCGCTATGGAGGAGCAGCGGGGTCAGGGTGAGGACGACAGTGTTTCTCTGGTCTCTCCGCAACACACGCACAGAAACACGAACTTCTTCATTGATAATATCCTGAGACCGGACTTCGGCTGCAGGCGCGAGCGGGGCGCGCGCGCGTCAGAGCGGGGTGTTTCTGCCAGGCGCGCGCTCTACCCGGGTTCCAGCTGCAGGAGCGACGGGGTTTCATCATCATCATCATCATCAGGCTCGTCCACCGGCTCGTCTCCGGTCAGCGGGCGGGTTCCCGAGGCCGAGAGAGGGAACACAAAGGCATCCAGTGCTAGCCCGGGGGAAGGCGGAGGCTCCTCGCCCGGGAAAGGCTCCCTGTGGCCCGCATGGGTTTATTGCACGAGATACTCTGATCGGCCTTCATCTGGTAAGGCATGATAACAAACAATATACTTCTGTTAAATGTATTTTCTTTCCTGTATAGGCCCTTTATTATTCTGTTTCCTAAACTAAAAGCAGGAACATGAAATGTATTTAATTTCTTAGGTTTCTGCTGCAATTTTACTTTCACGAGCTGGAGAAATATTCGAGCTGAGGAAAGCACACACACACACACACACACACACTGTGGCCATCACTAAATTTCCTTCCTCATTTAGGGTTTCATCAAACCAACAGAAAAGGCCATCATTTACAACAAGCACGATCCAGAGCTATATCATACACTGTAAAAGTATGGGTTTCCATTTATAAGACAACACATTTTGAATTATTAATTTGAGATATTGAGTTATTATTATTATTCTTGTTTACAATTTGAAATGCCGCAAATATTTGCATTAATCATTTAATCGATGCAATTAAGGAAACGTTGACCATGAGCGAATAATATTAATATAAATATTATTATAATAATAACTAGTAAAGATTGTAAAGCTTGTGAAAGCCTTGACTGGATGTTTAAAATATTTAAAGAAGCTATAAGTTTGTAGAATTTAAATAACACGGACAATAATAGCCTAATAATAATCATCGTCGTCATCTTGGAAAAAGACTTATCAGGCGCATTTAACAAACCTTGTTTAATAATAAAGAACGCTAAACGTCCTGCAAGAACAAAAACTAAACGTTATAATTGTTTAATATGTTCAATTAAGGCATTGGCAAAAATAATCTGTTATTTCGATTGAGCTCGAATTATCTTTACGCGTGGCGTTACTGTTAGTGACATTATTCATTTTTTTTTCCTCGCATATTTAGCTTGATCATTTGAATTTCGTTATTTGGTTTAATCAGATGCTATATTTTATTTCTCTTCACGTTTAAACATTTAAAATTGATGAATGGATGCATTTTTCATTCCCGTGGAAGATTGATATCCTAAAGTCGCTGTCTCTCATCTCTTTGCTGAATTTGGTTTTATGAAAATTTCAGTGAAGACTTTTTAACCATTTTTCTCGATGTGAAGAACATTTAAAAAATAAATAAATGGGCTAAATCTTGTCGAGGTTCCATGGATCTTAAAGGTTCTTCATTTACTTTTAAAATAAGACATTTAGACTCAATTTGCCTCAGTATTTTTTTATTTATTTGTAACACCACCAACATCATTAAAATATAGTTCATGTCCACAATAATAATGTCAATACACACTGATAACGCGCAATATCAATAGAAGTTAAATGAAAATATCGGAAGCAACGTTCCGATAAAAATGATCCTAAATAAGTTAGTCAGGCAAACATTTAAAAACGAAGTAAATTATATTAGTGTTTAATTTAAGCTTAGGCCTAAATGAAAGCGTAAATATCAGCATTATAAATTAATTAAAACCTATAACTTTCTGATAGTGGTGTTCCCATCATGCACTGGGGCGTGCAAAATAATAAGATTGAATGTTCACTGTTTTCCAGCGGTATTTACTCTGTTTTATTATTGATTTTGCTGTTGTGTTCAACTTGCTGTTTCGTGACATCTGAAGTTCATTTTCTACTCATACTCAAAAATGTATCCATTGAATAGCCTATTGTGTATTGAGATCTGTGTGTTCGGGTGGGTAACATTGTTATGAAGATGATGTTCGTAACTCCGTATATTATTTATTTAGATGTTCTAAGTTATGCGTACAGTTTAAATTTGGCTTAATTCAGTGTTATATTGTTTGATTAAAACTGATATTGCAAAAAAAAAAAAAAAAAAAAAAAAAAACTTCAGCTAAGTAGAAATTAGCTGCTCAACGAAATGTAGGCCTACTTACTTTTTTTAATTAATTTTACTTAGCCTAATTTAGTTATGCCCAAGTAGATTTTGCTTAATTCCGTGTGTGAAATTTACTTGAAAAATCTGTGTGCAAAGCCTTGCAAAAATTAAGTATTTTACTTATTATAACTCAGTGATGTTGAAATCAATCGCATGACTGGGATTTAAATCAGAAGAGTCTCTCCGGATGTGCATTTATCCAGCGGTGAGGCATCATGGCAACAACACCCGTGCTCTATTGTGTGTAGTCCAGACTGGCTTTTGACACTTAATGAGCTGGTTGATATTCATGGATTCCTCTCATTGTTGTGTCCACACAAGGCCCACGGACCCGGAAATTGAAAAAGCCGCATTGCTCCAGTGAGGACAAGCGAGGCAGAACCGCGTTCACGGCCGAGCAGCTGCAGAGGCTGAAGAGCGAGTTCCAGGAGAGCCGGTACATCGCGGAGCAGCGACGCCGGGCCCTGGCCCTCGAGCTCGGCCTCAACGACGCGCAGATCAAGGTCTGGTTCCAGAACAAGCGCGCGAAGCTCAAGAAGGCCAGCGGCTTCAAGAACGGGCTGGCGATGCAGCTGATGGCCCAGGGACTGTACAACCATTCCACCAACACCGTTCAGGAACAGGACGGGCACTAGCAGAGCAGCCCGACCTCATGAAACATGCGTGTCTGTAGCACGAATTGTATTTATCGCGCAATTTATACGCAAAAAAAAAAAAAAAAAAAAATGTTTAACGTGCATGATACGCACTTTATGGCGCACGTAACATTTACATAGCCTATTACCCAAGGGGGTTACAGTGCGTTTCAAATGCATGGAAAAACTTTTCTTTTTTTCTTTTTTTTTTTTTTTTGCTTATAAATTGCACGATAAATACAATTCGTGCTACACATACGCATTTTTATGAGACCGTGTTGCAGCAGAGACAATGAGAGAAAAGACAGAAGCAAGAAAAACTATAGTACTTGACCAGACGTCAAAAATGGGAGATTATAAATTACTTCATCAACCTTTTTTGTACGAGCGGGTGATTTTTATAATATACACACATGTGGAATTGATGAAATCGCGGCCCTCTTATTTTGAGGATGCAATTCATATCTCGTCAAATGGAACTTTACAATTTATTGTGTTTATGCTGTTTAAAGCAATATTTCTTCGTGCCAAAGATGTTATTCGATTCATGTATTCAGATTACAGTACTAAATGCGAGCCTACATTTTTTTTATATTTTTCTTTGCTGATGGGATAAAAATGGGAGACTTATCTGATTTTAGATATTATTCTTTACACGATATTTAATACTGTATTCAAATAAAAACATTTTTTTTTTTTACCTGCAAAACGCGGTCATTTATTCTCCTGGACTTCTGTAACTTTGTCCCTTTATTATTATATTTTTCAGAGACTGTAAACAAAGTCATCCAACTCGCTTCGTCTTGTTCTGTTTGCTCAAGTTCCTCACAGTAAAACGACTCTCGCATAATTTTACATGACAGTCTGTCTTATCAGTTTAAATAAATATATAAGTAAAACAAGGCTATCTCCCACACAGACAGCGTGATTATAGCATTGTAAATCAATACCTTTCAAAATACGAATTAGCCTCCTGAAATAACTGCTCAAATACCCAAAACAAGACATTTACAATATTTGTAACACTTTGGTTTATTAGTTAACATTAGTGATGTTAATGTATTAACTAACACTAATACATTTATTACTCTATTACTCATCTTTGTAAATGTGTAAATACAGTTATTGTTTGTTCATGTTCGTTCAGTACAATAACTATAATGTTAAAAAGATTTTAATAAAGTAGAAATTAAATATTGAAATTAACATTAGCAAAGATTAATAAATGCTGTAAGTGCATGTCATAATACTTAATGCTAACTAATTAACCTCGTTTTAAAGTGCCACAATAGTTTTAATTGACTGATAACAGATCAGTTTAAAGAAATGGCCACGATATTAATTTTATATTTAGGGAAGACAAAGACGCGGTGCAAAATATAAAATATATCGAGTAACTGAAAAAGTTGGCTACACAACACTTGCATAATAATATAATATAATGATAATAGTCTAAGTTTAACAATAAACTTTAGATTGAAGGGAAAGTAAGGTTTGTTATTTGTTGATCCGCTCATATTCCCGTGGTTTTGTGGGCAAACCTTGCCTTTTTTTTTTTTTTTTTTTGTAACCGATTAATCAAAGCAATGTCAGAGAGTCACTCACGACCACCTTATCCAGATGTGAATCACTGTTTGTTTTCTGAAGCTCATTGCCTGAAGCATATGGCATCTGCATCTCTCTCTCTCACACACACACACACACACACACACACGAGACGCGCCCGGACAGGCTCATGAGAGCAGCAATCACACACTGTCAAGTTCAGAAGTGAGTCACACTTCATTGAGATCTTAAACCTATTTAAAACCACAATAGAAACAGACATCAAAATATGTTTGAGAAATAATGACCTTCGACTCCTGCCTACTCTCATCTCTCATCTCTACCAGCTCGGTTGAAGAGGGGATTCAGATAACGCGTCACTTTGCCTTATGGAGGATTTGGGAAGGAATAAGAGCATCGAGCTGTCCCTGGTGTTCCTCTATCACTGATTCTCTTCCTCCTCCTCCGGGACTGACCCGAGATCTGTAATACTGAACTCCAGACAGGAAAACTGCTGAGTCTGAGTGTAAAAAGGTTTTATTCACACAGATAAACCCGTAGCCTCATCAATAGCCTATTGACCGAATAGATCTGCGTCAAAACATGTAGGCTACAAACAATTGAAAAAGTAGCCTATTTGGAGCCTATATAATTTCGTGCACAATTTATACTCAAGTGTCGTCGTCAAAATAGCTAAATACAGGAAAATACCGCTAAAGGTGCAACTAATACCGCTAAAGGTGAAATGCAAAGAAGAGGAAGGGGTGTGTGTGTGTGTGTGTGTGTGTGTGTGTTGTTTAGGATGTTGGTTCCATTTATTATTTGTAGCTTTTTTTTTTTTTTTGCATTGTTCAAAAATTGTTACATTTTTAAATGCAAATGTTGTGGAAGAGATTTTAAGATTCAAGATTTTACATTTAAGATTTAAGATTTTGCCAGCGAGCGATATTCTGGCAACTTCCCATTGTGTGACAAAACAATAAGCGTTTGATAAACATAGCCTATTCATTAGGTGAAGGAGGAGAACACATTTTAGTGTGGGCTGAACTATGCTGTCGAAACAACAACAATGTCAATGTGTAAGTGTAGGCTACACTTTTAGAACTTCGGCTACATTTTAAAAAAATCCCTGATTTCTGACAATATTGCTTATTTAGCTATTTTTATATGTAATAATCGGGTTTAAAAGCCATTTTTGAAATAAGGGTTTTAATTACAACCAATTAACCTTTTAAAGATCTACAAACAAACGGGGCATTTTAAGATGGGCATGGCATGCATGGGCACAACATGTTCAACAGCAGATTAGGCCTATAAGAGCAATGGAAACATGTGGTTGTGGAATTTGATTGAACTGCTTTTATTCCTCAGTAATATGAGCTCTCTGAGTCACCCCTTCATCATCTTCATACCTTTAAACCAAAGAAACACCCCCCCCCACACACACACACACACACACACTTGTTCTTAGAAATCTCCATGTGTCATTAGCAAACTGAAAAATGCTGTAGATCTCAGAAGTCCACTTACATAAATGTTTTTAGCAGTGGTTTTTATTTGTCGCTTTATGTTTAATTTTGTTTAGTTCGGTTGAAAGATTTCTGTTTATTTTCTTCTCATCATTTCTCTCTTACAGTTATTAAATAGACACATTGCCCCTCATAACAAAGTTATAAACTGAAATCGGAAATAATTTAAATGCCATCGATGTACCTTTCCTTCCTACCTCGAGTTCAGAAGCGGGGAACAGGCTCGTCGTAGATGTGCATGACGTCACTGCTGTGCACGAGCACGAGCCATATTTCAGCAGGACAGGTTTGCGCTGGCATTCAGTGTGCTGGGCCGTGAACGCGCGCAGGTCCCATCTGTGTCTTGGGTTTCCACAGACAGTATTTTTGGAATGACGTTCCTGTCGGACCGTAGATAACGCGTTTAAAGCCGTCACAGCATGGAGTGTGTGTGTGTGTGTGTGTGTGGTCCACCGCGCATCAGTCCTCCACTGAAACCATTTGTTAGGCAATAGGCTATGCGAATACAACAGCGGGAACCTTGATGTCAATTTGACATCAAATATTAGAGATTTGATCAAGATGCTTCAAGCATATTTCAAAGTCAGATTATACATCAAGTTCCTCCGTTGGTTAAATGGTAAAAATATGAGGTTTACCAAACCCATACTGAAGTTGATGATAGCCTATAAGTATTGTGGGCAATTGATGTCAAATAGACATAAAATTGACGTCAAATAGACATAAAATTGACGTCAAATATAGTCATCAAAAATTGGTCAAATGCCAATTTTAATGCCAAGTTTAATGCCAAGTTTTGACATCGATTTGATTTGCATTTTTGACCAATTCTTTGATTACTATGTTTGATGTCAATTTGATGTCCATTTGACATGAATTGCCTGTTGGGAACGAATCACCTTCTTTTAAATTATGATAGGTTATGGTTAGCTAGGCTATTTGGCAATCGGTTAATGTCCTTAAACGAACACCGCTGTATGTGTGCGTATAGACAAAGTTTTAAACTCAGGGAAAAGTGTGCTGAATTATCATAGGCCTATGTGTTGGAAACAAACAGGAATAAAGGCCCGGAATAAAGAGGTTATCAAACATTATTGGAATGTTCTCCAACATGAAAAGAACGTTATATTTCCATAAAATAAAAAAGTTTCCTGGCAATTAATAAAATAATAATAATAATATGGGAACATTCTGATAAAATTCAACTAAAGTTATTAACAGTGGTGGAGGAAGTACTGAATCTCAGTACTTAAGTAAAAGTACAAATACCCAGATAAATATTTACTTTAGTAAAAGTAGAAGTAACACAATGACAACCATACTTAAGTAAAAAGTAAAAAGTACTTTATTTTAAATGTACTTTAAGTATTAAAAGTAAAAGTACTTGCATAACAATTTATTATCTTAATGTCTATTTTCTAATGATTAATAAAACATTTAATTCTAACTCATTCAACCTAATAGCCTACTCCTATAATGATGTTCAATAATGATGGAAAAAAAATGTCACCATTTCTGAAACAAGCTTGCAATTAGGCAATATCATGCTTATCCTTAGTACTAGGCTATATGTTAATAACTATGTTTGGCAGTAAACGCGATTCATTTATGGTGTAATTCTGAACCTTTTGGCTTGCCATAATCCTAACCAAACCAAACATATATTACACACGGTGTGTTTCCTATGCACGTAAAAACAAATTTTCGCGTATGAGTTGCATGATAAACACACTGCGTGTGAGACGCATTTAGTGTGACCGGGTTGATATATTGTATCTATGGCAACCAAACGTCACTGGTGAGACAAACGTGCAACGAACGGACGGTCAGATTACGTTTTGGCAGGGGAAAAACTGATCAGAAAATGTAACGAAAATGTAACAGAAGCTGTAGAAATGTAGTGGAGTAGAAAGTAGAATAATTGCTGCAAAATGTAACGAAGTAAAAGTAAAAAGTATGCACTATTTATTGTAAGTAAAGTAAAGATAGGCTACTTGAAAAATGTACACTCTAAAAAATGCTGGGTTGTTTTAACCCAATTTTGGGTCAAATATGGACAAACCCGAAATGTTGGGTTAAAAATGTAATGTAAAAATTTAACCCAACGGCTGGGTTAGTCCATATTTGACCCAAAGTTGGGTTAAAACAACCCAGCATTTTTTAGAGTGTACTTAAGTAAAGTAACGAAGTATTTGTACTTCGTTACATTCCACCACTGGTTATTAAGAACGATCTGATAAAAACTGGTCTGGGGAAGGTGGTGATCACTAAAGGCGGTGAGGTAAGCCATTGGGTGTCGTGTCCTCCAGACCGCTAGATGGCGCAGAGCTCGCCGCCGCACTGTCACATCATCCCCTCTTCAGGAGGCAAGCGCAGTTTTGGCGGATCCGCAATGGGCTCTATGCACGGCGGTATTTCCGGTGAAGGTGTAAGGATGCTCGATAACTTCCGCCGATCACAGAGTCCAATGCAATACCGAGAAATATTGAATTTTATACTCCGTTATACTAAATAAACGTTAGTCACAAAAACAGATAAAACAGACACCCCTCGTTGTGTTTATGCTTCTTTTTAAAATTATATTAAATAAACATAACTATAGGCTATATAAAATTA